CTTGATATCAACGGGCCTAGATATCCAGGTAGGACCTAGGACAAGGCTGCACATTTTCTACAGGGGTAACAATAACGGCCCTAATGCAGCAGAAAATCCAACTCATATTTAATGTATATGCTAAAAAAGGACACTCACACAGATGGCTTTATTGCTCTTGGACAAGCGTTGCCACATCAAGACAGGTTTTGTTCTACCAAGTATAATGAGGATTTAACAATATAGGAAATGTGTATGTATGCTAAAATGGACTTCAATGGGGCCTGTCAGTCTCATAATTAACTTCAGACACATTATTTGCTACAGCCATAATGACACAGGCATGTGGGCTGAATCAGTGGACTGGGTTTGTAACAAAAAATTAGTATAATATCTGCATGGGTTTATTGAAGAAATGTAAGCAGTTGTGGATTCTAAACTGCTGTACTAAAAGTTTTACGATGCAAAATTCAATTCCCCAACTCTTTAATTGGATCTTAGGTACAACCATCTCTGGGAAAAACTTTTGAGGTAAGGATTGGCACTGAACTCTAAAATAAAGCAAGCTGCACCCTCCCCCCAAATATTTAAGCTAATAAGAGAAAAACGGGTAGTCCTCGACCTACAACCACAATTGGGAGCGGAATTTCTGTCACTAAGCGATGTGGTTGTAAAGTGAGATGTCACGTCACCGTATCGCTTAGCAACCACAATACCAGCAGTCCCAGTTGCCATCATTAACCAAGAATCATGGGTCATTAAGCGAGTACCAACACCAATTCAAGCCATTCCAGGCTTCGTCCCTCCCAGCCCCAAGCCCTCAGTAAGATAAGAGATTGTCTCCAACTCCCCCCACCTGCCTATCTCCCCCTCCCCGCCTTTTTCGCCACCCTGCACCCTGCCTTGTAAGGCGGCAAGCAACCACACAGCTCTGGGGCTGCTTCCCATGCCCTGGGAAACCACAGCCACCCTAGCCCAGCCCCAACCACAGTTGCTCTCGCCACCCTGCACTCCAAGACCGCTGCCACCCTGTGCTCTGCCGCTGTAGCTGACTGCTGCTGCTTTTTGCTCCTACTGATGACAAGGCATACCCAGTCTGGCTGCTGGGCTGGGCTGGGCTGGGCTGGGCTGGGCTGGGGCCAGGCTTTGTGCTGCAAAAAAAAAGCCAAAAGGAGCTCCTGAGCCATGGCGCACCAAAAAGCCCCTTTGCAAAAAGCTCCTGGGTGGGGCTTTTTGGTGCG